CGTTAACTCAAATGTGTCCCAGATAAAAAAAAAAATAATTTTTTTTTTTAATTTAAAAAACGTTTGATGTGATTAAGTTTTTTGTGTTGAATTCTTATTTGTAGGGAGGCTCCATGATGGAGCACTGCGGGACTACATAACAGTGTTAACAGAAGGACTGCAGGTAGACTGAAGAATATTTATCATGAACTATTATAACTAATAAGTAATTATTAATTATTATTCATTACTCAGACACCCATTAAATATTCTATTTAGTTACGAACTCTGTATAAATACACATGCAGTTGGATGAAATGTAAAATAAAAGGATTAACAGAATTTTTCAGGAATGCTTGAAGATTAAATGAACGAAATAAAATGCATATTAATATGAATTTCCTTTCCTGCATCCTCAAACACATTCAGAGATATGTTTGACGCTTAAAATATGCAGATACCAGAAATATATTTAACCGCTGGCAGCAACTGATGAGCGAGGGAGCAGGAAGGTCCCGCATCTGCGTGCCTTATTCCTTTAACTACCGCCAACTAACTTCAAACCTTCTCCACTTTACTGACAACTGGGCGGCAGAAAACCGATCGGTGCCTATGCCATTCCCAAAATGCGCTGGCATGATGTCGGGGCAGCATGAGTACGAGCAATTTATTTATTTATTTTTTTAATTTTTGCCGATGCCCGTGATGCCACCCCGGGCAACCGCCTGTGTCGCCCGTATCAAAAACCGCTAATGGACATGTAAATAATAAAATTCTTTTACACACTTGTTGGCGGTAGTCAAGGGAATACGGCACGGCAGTGTCGCATTTTCTCCCTCTTTCACTGCGACATTAAAGGGAACCTGAACTTGAACCTGGATGCGCATCTCTCGGCTGCCGCATCTTAGCACAAAACCACTGTCATTGTAAAATATGCGCATCCAGGAAGAGCTTTGAAGGACCCGGTTTCGGTAGCCCCGGGCGGGTGTCCACACACCGCGCTGGTGGACGCCACCTCCCCATGGGGCTCAGCCCGGAGCAGTTTTCCGTCTTCGTCGTTCTTACAGTTTTGTGGAAACGTGAAGGAGCTTCCTAAAACAGGCTGGACATCTGCACACAAACAGGTAGATACAGTGAAGACGAGCAGCAGGGTTAACATCTCTGCTTCACACTGAACGCCGGGCAAAAAGACAAGTGCTTCAAGAGTCCCCCACACCTACACCGCCCCTCGTACGGTCTTTGACACTCCCTATTAGAGTCATTTGACTATGCCTGCCCACTTTAAGAGGAGAGGGCTGTGTAGCAGCCCAAAGTGCCATTTTCTTGAAGTTTTCTTTCTTTCTTTTTTTGTTTTATGCCTGTGCCCGTCAACAATAACATTTGACTTTCATCACTCGCATCCATGTGAATGATGGGGCAGAGCGCGCTGACGCGCCAGTGAACACCGGGTCCTGTTTAATTATGATAGTAAAAAAAAACAGATTATATTAGATTTATATTTCAAATGTGAAAAAATGCTGATTTTACAAGAGCAAAATGATTGTATCTCTAAAGTTTAAACATTGAATAAGCTTTCTGCCTGCACAGAGTGAATAGTCAAAGTGAATCATCACAAATACATTATTTGATATTCATTACCTTGTTTTTCATTTTAATTAGTTTATTATTATAGCAGTAACAATAATAAGGGGAGGATTCTGGATCAGCACCATGATGTAAACTTGTGGCCATAGTGTATACATGAGAGTTTTCAGTTTAGACGTCTCTGCTGAAAAACAGGGCGGCACATGTACAGACAGACTGGTGTGGACACTCTTCTTCAGTGGCAGAAATTAAGGGGTGGGGGTGTTTGTGGCTAAT